TAATAATAATAATAATAATAATAATAAACAAACAAACAAACAAAACAAGGCTGATCAGAAGCTGCCAGTTTTAAGTTATGCAACAATGATGCCTTCATGTGCTCTCCTGGAGTGTGGGAGAAACGAGTACTGTTCCTGAAACGCGACCCCTCTTTCCTTCTACGGGACTTAAGTAGACACAACAGAGACAACACGACTCCACCCCAGGAAAAACAACAACATTTAAAGGGGTTTTCGTGCAAGTGAAAGCTTTGGCAGCCGTGCGAGGGTGTAAAACCGAAAGGTTAAATTGCGCGTCGGGTGTGTTGTTATCCCTGCTCTCTCTCTCTCAGCACCGGGAGGCTAACAGAAACAGAAAACCTGAGCGGAGGCAGCAGAGTTAACAGTGTACGCGTGGCACTGTTGATAGGTGAGACCAAAACACTGATCCCAGACCAGCCGGGCGGCTGACAGGGAGTTTAAACGAGCTGACACACAAACAACAAGACGCATATTTACCTATTGTTCGGAGTTTTTCTGGAAATCGGCGTGGGTTTCGTTTTCTTTCGGGAAAAGTCGTTGCTGTACGGTAAAACAGACGCATAACCGTGTTCTGCCTCTGTTGACACATGAAGCAAAGAAAATAAAAATAAGCAAACAAAGAAGACTCAAATGACAGCTCAACAGGAGTAAAAACCAGTCAATTCGGGAACAAGCTGTATCACAAACAGGCTGAACAGTCATCTCCATCATATATAGCTCAAATTTCCAATAACACACTTATTTACTCTTTTCCACGAATTAAGAACAAAAATAACATGCACGTTCAACACGTGCCATGCTGACAACACATGATAAATACACTTTGAATAATAGCTATCATTTCCTGGATTTATACTGGTCCAGTTCCCATCATCGCCTAGTCTGTCTGTGTCCCACTGAGAAAGAAGTGACATCATACCTGCACTGTGGCAGGGCATGTCAAAACACGACATTAAACCAAAACACCACCGTCCCAAAATGATCAAAAACAGCCCCTAAATGCTGCCAGGTCAGCTTTAAATACCTCTGTCTCTTCTCTCCAAATACTCTGCAGCCTCCAGCAGAATTAAAAGCGAATTAAGTTCCATCTTCTTTGATGTCTCGTTATAAAATTAGAAAGAATGTATTTACACAACTATACAATTCATCGAATATTGGAATGGGAACGAAAAACAAAATGTTTTAGATCGATGTACGTGCGCTGCTATGTTCACTTCTGAGTCTTGAGGACTCCAAACTACAATATAGCAGAGCCAACTCAGGAAGTTGAGTGACCGCGCCTTTGTCCAATAGGAAAACAGAAGGCAGGGCCTCTTGGGTGTGTCCACGCCAATGAAACTCTACGGCGCAGTTTCATTGGCCGAGCCAGGCGAAGTCATTGGGGACGTGCCCTAGCAACAGCACCGGCAACCCGCCTACCTTGCATCTGATTGGTCCCGTGCTGAAGCAGATCTCTCTGATTGGCTAGAAGAAAGTCAGTGCGTGCGTGTCGTTGAACTTGGGTATTTTGGTTGCCAAATGAGATAAAGTTCCTCAAGTATGCTTCAGGGTTTGCACGGTGAACCACGCTTATGCAGACATCTGGGCCTTTTTTTTATTTTTATTTTTATTTTTTTTTTACGTCAGTCAGGTATTTCTCACATGAGTATGGGTTGGTCTGTCCGAGTCATCGTGCAAGTTTCCGTTTATTGCACCAGATATGAAAAAAAAAGAAAAAAAAAAAAGAAAAAATAAACGTGTTGACAGATGTGATCCATTTTTATAAGAATTATACATTAAAATAGTAAAGTTATAACTCCAAATTTAATTGCAAAAGTTACATTATTTAAAAAAACGTTTAAATGAACTTATTTTAGGAATTCTTACAAAATAACACATATACAATTATTATTTTTTTGTTTAAGTCTTATTCTTTTTGCATTTAAACTTTCAAATCTGAGTGAAAAATGGTGTACTTTGAGTTCAAAACAAATCATACACCATCTTTTAAGTGTAATTTTCTAACACGTTTTGAATAAGTGCAAAACGTTCTCTGGCAAGTTCAGTTTTTGCACTTTGGCATTTATTAGATTCTGCAAAATACATTTAAATGTGTCTTTTACACATTTCTAGTTTGACGTTTATGCTACACAAATAATGGTCCTTACATCTATTTTTTTAATTGTACAAAAATACACAAAATTTCTCCAAAAAGCTGTGAGGAAAAATTCTTCGCATGTCGTACTATGTCAGGAAAAGTTCACAAATATATCACCCATTGTTTTGGCCATGACAGCTAATAGTTAAATTTATAATTATGAATAAAATCTAGTTGAATAAAACAACAATAAGCATGGTGTTTAATGTCATGACTGCCAAAAGTACAATCTGTGAAGATATGGCATTGTTTTCCTGACCCAAATGTTTTGCACATTATTGTTTTGCACAGTTTTTATTGACCAAAGGAGGTGTAAACACTGCTTATAATTCATGACTGGAGTCGGCCTGAAAGCCAGATCACGTGACTGGTGTCTGTAATTGTGGCTATGAACCTGAACTTCATTTGATGGCGGGAAATCCCTCTGGATCCAGCAAAGAGTTGCAGGAACGCTGGAAGAGTTATGAGGATCTCAACAGGGGCGTGCAAATGTGGTTTGCTGTGCATGGCAGGCTGTTTGTAACGTTAGCAGCCAGATGTTGGAGCCTCTGAAGGCTGGCCTGCATGCTGAAGGAATCACAAATGCATTGCAATGAGGAAGTGACTTTCAGAGAAAACGATGAGAAAAATGTCCCAGAGGACAACCTTTACCAGCAATGTTTACTTATATGTGATTTGAATTGTCTACAGATAGCGTTTATACAGTAAAAGTTTCAGTTATTTTGTGGCTAACCAGTTGATAAAACCTGAAAACTAAATGAACTTGAATTAACCAGAAGACACAACATCAACAAAGATAGTAATTTAGTAACAATTTACAGACATCTGTTTGTAGAAATAAATGTTTGTGTCTGTATAATTATAAATAATATTTAGTTTACTGATACAGATGTGTTTTTTTTTCCTGTGGGAATATTTTTAGTCTATTCAACAGTGCAGATAATTCCTAGATTTTTGTAAAGCCTGAATGATTTTAGAATATTTGGCCTTTACAAATTTCGAGGTAGATGGTTGATCAAGCTGAAGCCATGCAAACCACATTCTGCCGAACCTCCAGCTCCACATCAGTTCATGTCTGTCTGCTTTTTGCATGACCTAATTTCAGCAACATCCAAGTACCGTTTTGCACATTTTTATGCTTTTCACAAATTTATTTGGGCTGTAAAGCCAATTGCATCGATGCTGACTCATCATGTTTTCCTTTTTCTCCATGCGTTTTTACAATCTACCTACTTCTGCATACTTTGTTTTATTTCATCCATTCAGACATCAAAATGTTCGGCTCGTTCTAGAGATAGGTGCAGGGTTTATTTTATTTATTTGCATTGTGTTTTATTTTATTGTATTCTGTTCATTCTATTTTATTTATTGTTTTTTACTTTTATACTTTTTATTAAAAAATATTAGTCCCACTGAAATACGTCGAGGTGTTTTGAAGTCTCAAAAACATTCTCTGAAATCTACTTTAGAATACTTTTTCTATTTTTGTTTTTGTATGCTACATTTAGCTTTCTGCTATACTTTAAATACATTTAGATAATATTTTGCTACTCTAAGCCATTGGGTAGTGTTTTGCTATGTCTAGATTTTAGTGAACTAGCAAGTTGTTACTTTAATTTTTTAGCAAGCTTTTTACTCCATTTAGCCTTTAGCTAACCTTTGCCTACCTTTAGTTATGAGCCATTTTTTTTTTTTAGTTTTAGCTTTTAGCTAGTATTTTGCATCTTTTAGCATTTACAAAGCATTCTTTTTTTCAGCTTAATGCATTGATATGATTTTTTAGCTTTTAGCTTGTGTGCTACCTGATTTAGATTTTAAAACTCTATTTTAGCTTTTTTGGCTGGTTGCTATATTTAGCTTTTAGTTAGCTTTTAGCCAAACTGAATTTATAGTTAGTGTTATGCTACGTTTCTTCCATAATATTGATCTTATTTTAGCTTTTAGTTAGCATTTGTTTACTTTTTATTATTATTTTATAATGTTCTGGTTCTTTTCGCATTAGATGTTCTGCTTTTGTAGATTTACCAACTTAGTTTCAGCTTTTTTCAGCTGAAGATCTTTATAGCTTTTAGGCCGTGTTTTGCTTCTTTTACCTTGCTTTGCCTCTTTTAGATGTTCAGTCTCAGCTCCGTCGGTGTATTTCAGCAAAATCATTTTGAGAAAATGCTTTTTCTGTAGTTATCTTATCTTTTTTTTAATCTATTTTATTTCCTATTATGATGCAAAGCTGCTTACCAAGAAACAATTCCACCTTGCGTGCAATTCAGTTCACAATAAACCCACCAGAAAAGGGGAAGCACTTTCTTTGTGTGTGTCTTCACAGGCTCATTACAATATGATGACTTATTTGAAGAGGCCTGGTGGAATTCACCATATTATTATTGCCATATTTGATGGTGTAAAAATACAGTTACAAAAATCTCATATTGCCCTCAAATCATCCTTGTTTAAATTTCTGCAGATATTATGGAGTCATAGTGAGAATACTGTCAAACATTCAGAAAAAAGATGTTTTTATTATCAGTATATTTGTTTCACAACAGACAAGCTGCTGTATTTCCTCTTGACGAGGCAGCATCAGTTTTGTTGTTGTTGTACCTTAAAACTGTCCTGGAGGGAAGTTATGAAGAAATTACAAAACCTTATAAGCCCACATACATGAAGACACCGGTGTGCTGTAGCTTCTGTTCAAACGAAGCTCAGTCCTGTTTGTAATAAAGGCCCGGCAGTCCTAGGAGGTATACATATCGCTCGCCACCGTTTATGCCAGCGTTTGAGACTAAAATCATTTTATGATCAATAGTTGAACCTGTTTTAGTCAAACCTGAAAGATAACAGACATATGCACTAAGAGCAGACAAAAAAACCCCACAATCCTGCCTTAAAAAAGCCACAGGTTGCTGGAGTCACATGTGTGACTTCAGGTTTATTGTGTTTGTTTGTCGGAGCAGCAGAGCTGAGTAAAGTCAGCTGATCTTGGAAGGATCTTTCGCGTCGGCAAGCCTTCATCTCCTCGAGCTCGCTGTCACTTCTGTTTTAGAAGATCAGTTTCCTTTCACTGAAGTGGACTTCAGCAGAAAGAGTGGCTTTTTTTTTTTTTTTTTTGCTGCTGCATTTACTCTAATTATTCAGCAACACGAAGCAATGCGGTCATGCTGTGTTTGAGCGTAAAGCTAGAAAATAAAGTAGACAGAAGATGAAGAAAAAAAATCAATGTTATCATTGTCCTGAGCAGATATCCGGTGTGTGCTGTTTGTTGTGTTTTGCGTGTTATTTTCACTGTCTGGGACACGGCACTGCGTTGATGCAACGATTACACAGTCTACTGTGAACCCCTTCCCTTAGCAGCGTGGGCTTAAGTTGCATTTTATTTTTGAGTGACATGGTCATAGCAACACCGTTTATCTCTTGCAGTTATCGCCCACCACCGAAGGTCGAAGGCTGAGCAATAACGTTTTTGCGGGGCGTCAGCGGGTGAGCGCTTGTTTTTCTCTGCCGTGTGCAAAATATCTCATGAATCACTGAACAAATTTACCTGAAACTTTTCAAAATGAATCATCAGGCGTATGTCCAAAACTGGTTAACTTTTAAACTCAATCCATTTATAAATGGCTGCCACAACCAACTGATTAAAAAAATGGGGATAACTCAGTGTTTACAAAAATTGAGGGAAAGTTTGCTGATGATAGTAGCGGAGCATTGTCTCTAACGTACGACTTAAATATTCTCAATTCCAGGGCTCCGATTAATATAAAATAAAAAATTGTGCGCGTGTAGGTGTCACACCTGGAACTTTTTTTAAAAGTAAAATCTTCTAAAGTTATTTGTACATTTACAACGTTTACCTCTTCTGAGCTGATTGGGTTGGAGCTCCAACAGAAGGGTTGTGGTTGAAATCTTGCAAACAGCCAACAAACAAAATATCTACAACACATGTCTTCTTCGTCCTCACGCACACACACACACACACACACACACACACACACACACACAC